CGGGGGATGAGCAGTACCCCTTCCCACTATTTAACAGCCCCACCCAGTCCTCTGGGTGATGTTGCTGATCTTAGCAAGAACATAAAACGTGTTTGCATCAATTTTTAGACCCCAGGGCTTAGTCCAGATCTGTGTCATTTACTAGGCCTCTGAAAGTAATTAAGTTATACTAGCAACATTTAGGTAAATTGTGGGGTCAAGGCAGACACAGTACATATCCTTTCCATGGACACCCATAAGACTCAAGATTGGGAAAATAACAGCAGGGCCTCCATTTGGCTTCACTGGTCAGAGCCAGGGACTGCCCAGGTGTGCTGGTCCCAGCTGTCTAACTATGAATCTCCTTATAAAGTTTAAAGTTGATTTTCAACCACTTATTAGATTAAAATTTCTAAAACAAAAAATACACACCACATATGTGTGTGTGTGTGTGTGTGTGTGTGTGTGTGTGTGTGTGTGTGTGTGTGTGTGTATGACAGAAAGGATCTCAATCTAGAGCCCAGGCTGGCCTCAAACTCACAGCAATCCTCCTGCTTCCTGGATGCTGGGTTCACAGTCAAGAACCACCATGTACAACTAATAGATCTCAATAAATGTTAAGGGGCTGGGGGCAGGGGGATGGCTCAGTTGGTAAAGTGCTGGCCATACAAGCACAGGAGGCCTGAATTCTGCCACTGGTGCCTACATAAAAAGCCAGTGTCACCCCACACCAGTAATCCCAGCACTTGGGATGCAAAGACAGGAGTGTCTTGGGAGATCACTGGCTAGTCAGTCTAAGCCCAAAGGATGAGCTCCAGTGCAGTAAGAAACACTGTCTCCAAAGGGAAAGGGCAACAGAAGAAATTCAACACTGACCTCTGGCACACATGTGCATGCGTACACTCACAAACAACAAATAATAAGCAAACAAGCAAATACATAAGTGTCTGAGTGAATTCCACAGGGGCCTCGGGAAATGGCTCAGTGAGTAAGAAGAGCTTGCCACACAAGCATGAGGACCTGAGTTCAAATCCCCAGCACCCACACAAAATCCAGAAATGTCCATCCATCTGTAACTCCAGCTTGGGGGAGGTGGGCAAGAAGGGTAATCACTGGAATTCCCCGGTTGCCAGAGTAGCTCTAGACTCAGTGAGAGACACCTCAACAGAATGGTGAGAAGGCAGGGCACTTGACATCCTCTCCATATACACCCCACACCCACCCAAACACACGAAAGAAAACACCACTGCCCATCTCTTATCTGTAGTCTTTCTCCAGAACACTTAAGAAATGAACCCAAAAATGGCATGGGTCTATACTACACACATGTAACGGCTAAGCCCCATTAACTCTTCCTGTTTCCATAGTGCCTCTCATCTTTCTCATCTCTCACACCGACCTTTCCTCCCTCTCAGCACATCTTACCAAGATCTGGAGACCACCTTCTAAGTCCTACAAGGACTTCCGAAGACACAGGCTAGTGCCCAAACCTAGAAACCTCAACGCTCCGCTCCTCGAACTCAAAAAAGAAAGTCATGACTCCACCCTCCCCCAACCACATCTCCTTATCTCCTTCTTTCCTTCCTCAGCTTACCTTCTTCAGCATTCTGTCTCCTGAACAACTCATCTACATAGTGCACTCATACTTGGAGATAAGCCCTTCTTTAACTCACTCTTTCTGCCTCAGCCTCCCTGATAAGCTATAATTATAGGTGTGTGCCATAACTAGCACCCATACATAATCTTAACCTTACTCAGAAATGAAACTTATTTGGGCCATGATTAAAGTAAACTATATGGCCAAGTATGATAGTGCATGCCCTTAATCTCCGCACTTGAAAGGCAGAGGCAGGAGGATCTCTGAGTTCTAGGACAGCCAGGGCTACCTTGTCTTAAAAAATAAACAAATAAGTAAAATATAGTCAACAAGATTACATCTCAAAACTGTATGTAAGTGTACTGCATATACCATCAATATAAATAACAGATACTAATTTTTATTTTGTATCATACTTTAGGGACAATCATTTACATTGAGTACAAGGTGAAGAAATAGGTCTTTTTTACATGATTTCACCAAGGCCTATAATTAGTAAGGCGAAGAATCCTTAACTAGTAAATGATGTTATCTTGAATTCAGTCTAAATCCACATCCGAGGCAAATTTCAGTGCAAAATGACAATGTCAAGACTTACTAACATGCTGATAACCATAGACCAGAACATCTCAAGTGGAGGTGATTTAGGCTAACAAGTGGACTTAGTAATGTCACAGATATTTTTGGTTGAGGTAAGTGGGCAGTTATGATGGTGGGTGCTGCTGACACCTAAGTAAAGATCACAAAATACACAGGACAGCCCCTAAAACAGCTGTGTGACGGAAAATGTCAATTGTGCTGGGGCTGAGAAATCCTATGTGAGAGGTTTCTCTAGTACTGGGCTAGAGAAATGAAGACCAACAAACACTTCTCTCTCTGCCTTTAACCTCTTCTAGTCTTCTAACTACCTTATCTAAATGGATCCCCTGCCATCTTCAGGGAAACCTTCAGCTCTCTTTTCCTCCCCTCTCTGAACTTTCAGACCCCAGAAAGTATGTTCATGCTGTATAAGGAGACAGGAAACACAACTGCTGAGTGAGAAAGCCAGGAAGTACAACCATGCATCACCTCCAATGCAGTGGGGCAGTCCATTCATCCAAAGGAAACTTGCTTTTATTAGCTACTACCATTCAGGGTCTGGCTAGCAAGCAACTTCCACTACTCACTGCCATCTTTGGTGACTCAAAACAGCATCCTCTCCAAGACAGAGACAATTTAGAGAGGGAGGGAGGTTGCCTTTAGATTTAAAAAGAAAAGAAATTTGCTTAAGTTTCAACATCTTTTATCATTAATAAACATTATCACTTAAATTTTCTTTTGTTTTTTCGAGACAGGGTTTCTCTGTGTAGTTTTGGTGCCTGTCCTGGATCTCACTCTGTAGACCAGGCTGGCCTCAAACTCACACTCACAGAGATCCGCCTGGCTCTGCCTCCCCAGTGCTGGGATTAAAGGCGTGTGCCACGGCCGCCCGGCTCGCTTAAATAATTTTAATTAAAAAAATTCATATTCACATTTTTGCTTGTGACCCAAAAAAACAGATGTTTGGCTGTAGCAGTAAAAAGCTTCCCGGACCAAATACTAAATGAAAAGGCCACGTGGATTTTCAAAAAGAAAAATGCATCTACTTGTCTTGCTTTACAGGAAAAAAAGAAAAAGAAAAAAAAACTATAGCTCCCTCTAGATGTATTACAAAGTAGAAACGATGAACAAGACAGTATCAGGGAGACTCTTCTCCCTTTGGGCAGAGGGTGGCTGCTCCCAGAGACTCAAGTACTAACAGCTGGGGGAGGGCTCTGGCTCTTCTTCGCTCCGCAGAGCAAGTAGTTCTCCACAAAACTTGCTGCTGCTCTGCACCAGCCATCTCGACCAGGGTGTATGAGTCCGTTCTTTGAAGTCACTATCACACATCCAAAGTCGCTCGTCTCCTACAACCTGTACACTACTGGCCCCGATCTTAGTTACGCTCCAGCCCTGCACTAAATGTGATTCCTTCGTGGTCCTCCAAAGGACCCTGCTCCCAGGACCTTACGAGGACCGCAATAGCCCGAGTGGGTGCACTGTCACCAGCTCCAGGCCTCAAGAGCGGTAGTACAGTCAGTCTCTCATGCAGATTCGAGATCTCCACCGAGCCACTGAAAGGCCACAAGGGGGATGTCGCCCCAGTTTCATACTCACTAAAAGCATCTGAGCACACATTGGACGGTGAAGCCGGGTGGCAGCACCAAGCCGGTGCCCAGGCCGGCTCACAGAAGCCAGGCGCCAGGCACTCCAGACTAGGGGTGGGCGGCGCAGGACCCAGCGCCATTGCTTGGGGCGAAAGCGGACTTCGCTGCAACCAGCCCGAAGCACGTGCCGGGGCTCGCCGGTATCCCGGAGCCCAGGACAAAGTCTGCTCTCGCCCGCTCTGCAGCTCCAGCACCCGGCACCCGAGTCTGGGCAAGGCGGGCAGGGCTTGCGCGCGCCGCAAGCCAACTCCAGACCCCACCCCGATGCAGGCTCGGCCGCCCACGACTCCTGCGCGCACTCACCATTGTGGTTGACCCAGGTTGGCTTCAAGAGCTTCATTGTTCGGCCGCCGCCGGGCTGAGGCCAGAGCCGTGTCCCTCAGCGCGCCTGGGCCATGGAGCCGCCGCCGCTTCCTCCCGCGCCGCCTGCCCTCCGGCCGCCGCCCACCCTTGCCCTCAGCGCCGCCGCGCCATCGCCGGCCCGCGCCCCCAGCCGCCGCCACAGCCGCCTCCTGCGCTCGGCCGCCGCCGCCGCCGCCACAGCCGCATCCCCTGCGCCGCTCCTCCTCCGGCGGCTCCGGGGCAACGCCGGAAGTCACGGCGCGCACCTGCCAAATCGCCCCGGCGGGAAACCGCTCCCTACGCGGACGGGGCCGCCTCAGCTCTTTGGCAGGCAGGGGGAGCGCGGGGCTACACCGCTCTGGGTCTGGCACGGGCGCGGTCGCTGGTGAGGCTCGGTTTGGACGGGCTGGCAGAGCCTCCAGGTTCCGCCCGGCGATGCGGGGCCACGGTAGTGTCCAGGTCTCTAGCCCTACCTCCGCGGCTCCAAGTCCAGCTTAGTAACTAGCTTCCGTCATCCCTCAACACGCGCTATTGGGCATCTCGGAGCGCCATCCGGGCGGGCGCCAGCATGCAGCTAGCGGCAGACGGCAGCGGCCCTGGTCTCTAACGAATGCAGAAAAGAGCTAGCCTGGTGGAGGGGTACAGGGGGCTAGACGGGCGCATTTATTGCGGCGTTTGCATAGACGTAAACACATAGGCCAGGCGGAGCAGTGAGCAGCCACACCGGCACAGGAGACACTTGGGCAAGGGCTGCAGGCCTGTCCCGCAGCACCAACAGGAAGCGGAACGCCAGCCGCAGGGACGCTGCGAAGCTAGCCGCGCTTGCCCGGGGCGGGGCTGCGTCGGGGGCGGGGCCAGAGGCGAGCTCGCCTCTCGGAATCCCGGACCGGAGGGTTCCGGGCCGCGGCCTGCCTGACCCTGCTCGGTACGGCAGATCGGACCGCCCAGGGGCGCGCTCCCGGAAGCTGCCCGCCTGCGGGTGGCGTGAAAAGCTATGGCTACCGCCGTGATGCTGTGTACTGCGCGGGCTCTGCGGCCGCGGAGCTGGTGAGTGCCGACGCGGGTGGCGAAGGGCCCAGGGCGCGTGCGCGGGCTCTGCCCTGGCGCTGCTCTGGCACTTGCAGGTTATTTCAGGGATAAACTGATCCCGTCTGTTGCAAATGATAATCTGAGCTGGGAATATAGCTCAGTAGACAGACTACTTGCCTAACGAGTCTGAAGCCTAAGTAAGGCTCCATCCTAGCGCCACAAAAACATTGGGCGTGGCGGCACACGCCTGCAATCCTAGGGCTGTGGAAGTAGAGGCTAGATCAGAAATTCAAGGTCATCAATAGCTACGTAGCACGTAAACCCCAGGCTATGTTACCCCCTAATTTAAAAAAAAAAAATCCTGCTAGAGCGAGTAGGGGCCCTACCCAAAGTGCGAAACGGAGTTTTGAAAAATCCCCACTTTGACCTTGCTGGCCTAATACAAGTGAGCTAAGCATGGTGGATCAGCCTAGGCAAGAGAATTGCCTCGAGTTCCAGGATAGCCCGAATTACAGAGACTTTTGTCTGAAATAAGTAAAGTAAATACAAACGCCCTCCAGGTTTTGGGAGCCCTGTAGTTATGTGTATGTGCCTTCTCTTTCCCAGTCGGATCTTTATACATGCCCTTCTCTCCTTCAGGATCCCTGGAATCTGCCACACACTGGCTAGACACACCCACCAGAGAGCTTCCTTGCTGTCCTTCTGGGAGCTCATCCCCATGAGGTAAAATTCAGTGTGACCCTAAGCTTTTGGAGTGTGAGAAACACATGTATGCATATAACCAAAACAAAGCAAGATTGCCCAACCTTTGGTTAGCAGATCAGTCTATCAAGCTAATAGTTAAATGTAGGTAGATGCCTCTGTCCTTTCAACAAGCTGTACTACGATAGCATGTATGTGTAGTAAAGTAGTTTAAATAAATAGCAGTTAGCTTTGAGGAGTTCTGTGTGTTTTAAAGGACACATCTTAACTTCTGTCTCTCCACAGGCTTTGCTCTTCCCTGCTCAGCTCATCCTGATTCATTGAGTGGGAGGAAGGTTCAAAGACTAATACTAATAGTTCCTCTAGAAACTTTGGATACTTTCTTGGGAATTGATTTAGTCGATTTTAATGCTAAAGGGTTTGCTGATTGTTTTTAAGATTTCTTTTTTATTTGTGTATGTGCCTGTCATGTTTTCAGGTGCCCTGGATGGGGCTTACAGATCAGAGTTACAGGCAGCTGTGAGCCCCAGGTGTGGGTGCTGGGAACCACACTCCAGTCTTCTAAACTAGTAAGCACTCTTAACTGCTGAACCATCTCTCCAGCCCCAGATTTGCTTATTCCTAATGGCAAATTATGTCTGGGAGATGTGTTCCTAGAAGCAAACCAGATAATTGCCAAAGATTTAGGGCATGGAACTTTTTTTAAACGTGTTATGTTTGAGTGTATGGGCGTACATTGCATGCCTGATGATCACAAAGGCCAGAAGAGGGTGCCAGATCCCTTGGAACTGAAATTAATGGTGGTTGTGAGCCACCATGTGAGTGCTAGGAACCAAACCCAGGTCCTCTGCAAGAGTAGAAAGTGTTCTTAACCACTAAGCCATCTCAGACACCCCAGAAATTGGTAACAAATTCTGAGAAGTAAATAAAGACATAGCTAGTCACTTTTACTATCCTGTCTCTTTTATTCTTAAAGCATTTTTTTAAAATCACAAATTGATTTAAAATGTGAATGGACTTTTAATCCATTTCAGTAAGTTCACTTCTCAGGGCAGTTTCAAGGTATCCCTGAGTCACAGACTGACACTTTCAAGCTAAGAATGTAGCTCAGTGTTTTGAGTCCTGGCCTAGCATGCACAAAGCCTCCAGTTGAAGCCCCAGCACCATAATACCAGGAGTGGTAGAAAATGACCATCCTGGCAGTCAGGAGGTAGAGACAGTAGGATCAGAATTCAAGGACATAGCCACATAGCTCCATGACTACATAGCTAGTTCAAGGCAAGCCAGGGCTATGTGAGAATGTATCTTTAAAAAAAAAAAAAATTAGCCGGGCGGTGGTGGCGCACGCCTTTAATCCCAGCACTCGGGAGGCAGAGCCAGGCAGATCTCTGTGAGTTCGAGGCCAGCCTGGGCTACCAAGTGAGTTCCAGGAAAAGGCGCAAAGCTACACAGAGAAACCCTGTCTCGAAAAAACCAAAAAAAAAAAAAAAAAAAAAAAAAAAAATTAACACTGCCACTTAGTAAATACATGTAATTTGTGCTGCTTCCTGGAGTTGATAGGACCCCTACAGTCCTCATGAAAACAGATAAAAACTGACTCTGTCACTAAGCTCATGGAGTCAGGACTGTGAGCAACTCTTTCTTGTAGTGTATGATCCAAGTGTAAGGCACTTCCTTTAGCATCATGTCTGCCCTGGGATTGAAGTAGAAACACTGGGTGTCTGTTTCTCATCTACTAGAGCGGAACCTCTGCGAAAGAAGAAGAAGGTAGACCCTAAAAAGGATCAAGCAGCAAAGGATCGCTTGAAGAAGAGGATCCGGAAACTGGAAAAGGCCACCCAGGAACTGATTCCTATTGAAGATTTTATCACCCCAGTGAGATTCCTGGATAAATCACGGTAAAGGTTCTCCTCTAGGTTGACATCCTTAATGCAAAGGAATTCCCTCAAGTAGTTCTAGTTGAAGTTCAAGTCTGATGGGAACAGGTGAGTAGGGTTGACTTGACCCTGGTCGGAGTCCTTTTCATCTCGATTGTGCTTTTTGGGAGTTTGGATCAACTTTGCTCCGAGGGTCATGTTCATGTCCGTGAGTGTTGACTGTAACTCATGACATAGGCCTTGGCTCATAGCTCTCACCGCATCACCACTGTAGAAAACTCTCAGCCTCTTGTACACATGTTCATAGTTGGTGTGTGTTGCAGTTGTGTTGTGTGTAAGTTTAGCAGCTAGCTCATGCTTTCCTGGAGAAGTGAGCAGTTTATAAAGCCCTGCAAGGTGGGAAGCGCTGGTGCTTTGTGGTGTTCTGGGACTAAACAGGCTCTTGTCTCGAGATTTGGGTGTTTGTTCCACTTTTCTTCTGTACCCCTCTCACCAAAAGGAGGCTTTGCCTGGGGCAGAAACAGTGGCACTGTAGTTCTCTCAGAGTGTGCTCTTTCTCTGGCAGACAATACCTGCTGTCATGTTCTACACGGTGTTTTTTTTTTTTTTTCTTAAGATTTATTTTTATTTATGTGTACTTGGGGTGTGTATGCTCATGTGACTGCAGGTGCCCTAGTGGCCAGAAGAGGGCAGCAGATCCTCTAGAGCTGGAGTTACAAGCAACTGTGAGCCACTTAATTCTGGTGCTGCAAAAGAAATTCTGGTCTCTAAGAACAGTAAATGCTCTTAACCTCTGAATCATCTCTCCAGCCCTAACCTTGCATTCTTAATTTACCCCCAAATATACTATTTTTCTAAGCCCTGGTTGTGCCTGGCAGTGCCTGCTAGTAGGGCAGTGAAGTCATGTGTGGTCACATCGTCCTCTACAGTAGGGTCAGTCAGTCATGTGTGGTCACATTGTCCTCTGCAGCAGGGTCAGTCAGTCATGTGTGGTCACATTGTCCTCTGCAGCAGGGTCAGTCAGTCATGTGTGGTCACATTGTCCTCTGCAGCAGGGTCAGTCAGTCATGTGTGGTCACATCGTCCTCTGCAGGGTCAGTCAGTCATGTGTGGTCACATCGTCCTCTGCAGGGTCAGTCAGTCATGTGTGGTCACACTGTCCTCTGCAGGGTCAGTCAGTCATGTGTGGTCACATTGTCCTCTGCAGGGTCAGTCAGTCATGTGTGGTCACACTGTCCTCTACAGTAGGGTCAGTCAGTCATGTGTGGTCACATCGTCCTCTACAGTAGGGTCAGTCAGTCATGTGTGGTCACACTGTCCTCTGCAGGGTCAGTCAGTCATGTGTGGTCACATTGTCCTCTGCAGGGTCAGTCAGTCATGTGTGGTCACACTGTCCTCTACAGTAGGGTCAGTCAGTCATGTGTGGTCACACTGTCCTCTGCAGCAGGGTCAGTCAGTCATGTGTGGTCACACTGTCCTCTGCAGGGTCAGTCAGTCATGTGTGGTCACATTGTCCTCTGCAGGGTCAGTCAGTCATGTGTGGTCACATCGTCCTCTACAGTAGGGTCAGTCAGTCATGTGTGGTCACACTGTCCTCTGCAGGGTCAGTCAGTCATGTGTGGTCACATTGTCCTCTACAGTAGGGTCAGTCAGTCATGTGTGGTCACACTGTCCTCTGCAGCAGGGTCAGTCAGTCATGTGTGGTCACATTGTCCTCTGCAGGGTCAGTCAGTCATGTGTGGTCACACTGTCCTCTGCAGGGTCAGTCAGTCATGTGTGGTCACACTGTCCTCTGCAGGGTCAGTCAGTCATGTGTGGTCACATTGTCGCTCTGCAGCAGGGTCAGTCAGTCATGTGTGGTCACACTGTCCTCTGCAGGGTCAGTCAGTCATGTGTGGTCACACTGTCCTCTACAGTAGGGTCAATCATGTGTGGTCACATTGTCGCTCTGCAGCAGGGTCAGTCAGTCATGTGTGGTCACATTGTCGCTCTGCAGCAGGGTCAGTACTCCTCAGCCTCACATCTTTGGACTTGTGTGTTCACAGACAGCGACTCCAGGAAGAGCATTCTTCAGAGGAGAGCGAGCAAAGAGCTCTTCTGCTGAAGAGGTGGGCACTCTACAAGCAGCAGGAACATGAGGCAGAGAGGGTCGCCATCAGAGCCATGCTGGAAGCCCAGCAGGAAGCACTTCAGGAGCTGAAACTTGAGTCTCCAGAGCTCCACGCTGAGGCCATAAAGCGGGACCCCAGCCTATTCCCCTTTGAGAAAGAAGGGCCACATCACACGCCACCAGTCTCTAACTACCAGGCCCCTGAAGGCAGGTACAATGACATCACCAAGGTGTACACACAAATAGAATTCAAAAGATAGAACTGAAAACCGCTGTCCTCAGAAGATGCTGGCCCCGGGAGTCGGAGCGATGAGCTGCAGTTTGTTTTCCACAGATCATACATCCCGGGAACAAATAAAATGTAATCACAAGCACCTCTGCCCTTTATTTCAGTCTAAATAATTCACCTAAGTTGGGTGGGGTTTTCAGACGGGAAGACAATGAGAGAAAGACAACACTGACCCTCCAGTAGGGAAAACGTGGCTTAAAAATAAAAATTTTAGTTTCATTCTGAACTACTTACAGAAGACACAAAATAACCCAGAGGTGAAACTTATGCCGGGTTTTGCCAGTTGGGCAAATGTGCCAGAAGCTGGACCTTGCTGTGGGATAGCTGCAGAGTTTCTGGATTTTAAGGTCAGGAGGTGGCCTTTAGAGAGTGGAACAAGCTAGGAACATGCTAGCGACAGCTGCTCTGGCCTCCAGAAGAGGATGAGACCCGGCTGAGACTATTGCAGTTACTATGATTCATCTGAAATGATTCCTGTAATCCCAGCACTGGGAAGACAGAAGCAGAAAGAAGTTGAAGGCTAGCCTAAGGAACAGTGTGAGACCCTGTGTCCTAAACAAAACCAAAACTCGGAACTAGTGAATGTAGTACTTTGTTCCAGCTGCCATAACAAAATACCGTAGCATGGGCAGCTCATACAATGGAAACATTTTCTAGAACTCCCCACACTGAGGTCTTAGCATGCTTGACGTCTCCTGCGGCCACGCCTTTGGTTTGCAGGTGGCCTCCTTGTCTTCGCAGATGTTTTTCAGTCCTTGTTTATCAGATGTGAAGGCACTATGCATGCTGCCAAACAGCAAACTTACCCTAAACACCCTGCTCCCACATCCTGAGGTGCCCGGGGCAAAGGCTTCAACATGAAATTTAGTGAGAAGGTTTTGGACAGTAGTACAAGCCCAGGAGCAGTGGAGTGCCATTTTTCCTAGTGACTCTGAGTGCCACTGCAGAAAGGCTTTGGCTTTTAATAAGACAGGAACTTGTGTTTGAATATGAATTTAGATTATTGAGGGCTGGCGATACAACTTTGTGGTATTTTGTCTAGCACATGTGAGGGTCTGGCTTTGACCCCAGCTTCACATATCAAAAAAATTTCTTTTTGTTTATTGTGGCAAAAGACAAAATTTGCTCTCTTGAACAGTTCCAGCTGACTCAGTGGTACATTTGTGTGTTTATAGTGTATAATCTACTGACAATATATTTATAATGCTATCTGTGTATTTCCAGGACTTTACATTATGAAACGGAAAACTATACCTATTAAAGAACTCCCACCAACTATGGCACATGACTGTAGTTCCAGCTACATGGGAGATGGAGGCAAAGGGGTCTCAAATTTGGGGCTAACCAGGGCTATATCACAAAACTTACCCATTCCCCTGTTCTCCCAGCCCAACCCCCACCATTCTTTCTGTCGTGTGATTCAGACGACTCATACTCATGTGCTTCACATAGGTGAAATCAGCATTGATCTCTGCCTGGCCTGATTTCTCTAAGCATATTGCCTCTGTTTTTTAATTTTTTAAAAGACTGCCCAAAGCGGGCTCAACTGATCCTCGTGCCTCAGCCTCCCAAGTAACTGCTTCCTTGGGTGTGCCAACACACACACACACACACACACACACACACACACACACACACACACACACACACACACTGCTGGTTTTTCTTTCTCACTATTGTAACTCAGCTGGCCTTGATCCCTCTCCTGGTTTCTGTAGGGTGATGAGTTGGATGACTAAAGCATATTTTGTTTATCCATTCATCCTGTGGCTTCTGAGGTTCAGCGGTCAGGAACGCAGCTGCTCCAATCACAGGTGGACAGAGCTCTTCAAGACCTTCCTTTAAATTCCTTTTTGAGGAAAAAGTGCTAGAGATGAAAGCAATGACTTTGGCGGAGCGGTGGTGGCGCACGTCTTTAGTCCCAGCACTGGGAAGGCAGAGGCCGGCAGATGGATCTCTGAGTTCAAGACCAGTCTACAAAGCAAGATCTAGGACAGGACAACCAGGGCTACACAGAGAAATCCTATCTCCAAAAACAAGAAAGGCGGGGAGGGGAAATAATGACTTTGAACATCCAGGAAAGTGTTCTACCACCTAACTATGCCTCCAGCCCTCCTGCTCTAATTTTTTTGAGTTTACACACAGAAAGGGAATTGCTGTTTGTATGATAATTCCATTCATTTTGCTTTTTTGGTTTTGGTTTTGGTTTTTCGAGACAGGGTTTCTCTGTGTAGCTTTGCACCTTTCCTGGAACTCACTTGGTAGCCCAGGCTGGCCTCTAACTCACAGAGATCCGCCTGGCTCTGTCTCCCAAGTGCTGGGATTAAAGGCGTGCGCCACCACCACCTGGCTCATTTTGCTTTTAAAAAAAATATTTATTTTTTGTATAAGAGCACTCTATCAACTTTATGACAGAAGAGGGCATTAGATTCCACTAGAGATGGTTATGAGCCACCATGTGGTTGCAGAGAATTGAACTCAGGACCTCTGTAAGAGTAACCAGCACTCTTAACCACTGAGCCATCTTTCCAGCCTTCATTTCACTTTTTTAAAAAGCATACTATGTAACCAAAGTTGACCTTGAGTTCCTGTTCCTCTTTCTTCCACCTCCCAAGTGCTGTACCATCATGTCCTTGATAACTTCTTTGCAGAACCCATATACACCCCATTACATGGTACATTCCCACCAATGGTGCACAAGAGTTCTGATGTCTCCATATCCTCACCTACACTTACTTGTAGGGTTTGGGTAATTATTGTTGGAGGGTTTTTGTTTGTTTGTTTGGGTTTTATTTTGTTTTTTGGTTTTTTGTTGTTTTTTTGAGACAGGGTTTCTCTGTGAAACAGTCCTAGCTGTCCTGGAACTCACTGTATAGACCAGACTGGCCTCAAACTCACAAAGATCCGCCTGGCTCTACCTTCCAAGTGCTGGGATTAAAGGTGTGCAACACCATCACCCAGCCATTGGAGGTTTTTGCTCTTTTAGGGGGCCTGCCACCCAGCTTCCAAATAAGTCACACACAGAGTCATATTATAACTTATTAATGCACGACCTTAGCTTGGCTTAGTTTCTAGCCAGCTTTTCTGTATTTTAGATTATTCTGTCTACCTTTTGCCTCTGGGCTTTTTCTTTTCTATTCCTAAATACCTCTCTTTGTTTCTTACTCTGTGGCTTGCTGTATAACTGGGTGGCTGGGTGGCTGAGTGGCTAGCCTCTGGAGTCCTCCTCCTTCTCTGGCTCCTTCTAGATCTCTTCTCCCAGATTTCTCCCTCTATATATACTCCTGCCTGCCAGCCCCACCTATCCTTTCTCCTGCCTCACTATTGGCCGTTCAGTTCTTTATTAGACCATCAGCTGTTTTACACAGGCAAAGTAACACAACTTCACAGAATTAAACAAATGCAACATAAACAAAAGTAACACACCTTAAATTATTCTAGTACAGGTAATATCTTTCATCACTGGTATGAAGTGGTCTTGTGGTTTTGAACTGTATTTCCTAATGGCTACTGGTGTGTTTAGCAAATGTTTTCTCCCATTCTTTGGGTTGCATTTTTACTATCAATAGCCTTTTTTTTTTTTAATGAATATGATGTTTTCCCTTCGTGCATGTCTGTGCATCACTACATTCATGCCTAGTGCCTACATCCATAACTCCTCTGGAACTGGAGTTATAGGTGGCTGTGAGCCACTAGTAGATGCTGGGAATGGAACCCAGATATCTACAAAGACAAGTGCTCTTAACCACTGATCTATCTTTCCCAGATTAATAATCTTTTGATATAAGAAAATTTAAATTTACATGAAGTTCAGTTTATCTTTTTCTTTCAACAACAGTGACTATGGTTAGGTTTTGGTTTGTTTGGGGTTTTATTGTTTTCTGTTTTGGTTTTGATTTGGTTTGGTTCTGGGTGTTTCGTTGGTAGGTTGGTTAGTTTGGTTTTATTTATTTTGGGGACAGGGACTTACTCTAGCCCAAACTGGCCTGAATCTCATTACATAACCTAGGCCAGCCCCAAACTACCATCAATCGTCCTGCCTTGCTGGGGAGGTAGGATCACACGTATGAGCCACTGTACTCAGCTAATCTGACTATGATTACATAGCACATATAACATGGCCAGGCTGGGAGAGAGACTCAGCAGAAAAAGCACGCGCCCCTTAAGAGTGAGGACTGGAGTTTGGATCCCCAAGAGCTCAAGGGAAAAACATGTCTGTAGTCCCAGTAAACAAGGTGGAGATATAGAGTCCCCAGAGCAAGCTGGCCAGCCACACTAGCCAAAATGGCAATCGGCAAATTCCACAGGAGGCCTGACCTCATGTGTAAGGTGGAAAGAGATTAAGGAAGATGCCTGCTGTCAACCATGAACCTTGACACACATGTGTACACATGTGGATGTATGCACATACACATGAACAAAACACTTTAATTTTTAAAAAATATAATTATTGCCCCTGTGTACAGTTTCAGGTTTTACATTTAGTTCTTCAATCCATTTTGAATTTATATTTTTCTTTCTTCAGTTTAAGTAACTTTGTATGTTATGGCTAAAGAAACTCCATTTAATACAAGGCATACATCTTGGTACCCACCAACGGTTTGTCTCTGACTCCAGTGCCTACAAGATAACCCAGTGACCCTGACTCCATGACCTCACCCAGAAATGTACATCTGTGACTATCTACTTGTTATGATCTGACTAACTGCTTTTTAGCTTCTGTCACTTGCTTATGAAGACACCCAAAGATTGTTTTGAGGTGCCTTAGCAACTTCTCTTGGCAGACCAGATCAGTTTTTTTGCTTCCTTGCATAGATATTGAAGGTCTTCATATGATTTCCCCTTTAAAAGTCCTTTCCCATTCAGCACTTGGGAGGCAGAGGCAGGTGGATCTCTGAGTTCAAGGCCAGCCTGGTCTACAGAATAAGTTCCAGGACAGCCAGGGCTACCCAAGGAAACCCTGTCTCAAAAAAAAAAAAAAGAAAAAAAAAGCCTGGCGTGATTCCGTCCTGCATGTCTGTTCTGAGGAGCAGTAGGCAGTTTCCTCCGTCCAACTTCTCTCACACCGAAGTGTGCGCCTCCACC